TCAATAATATTGATTGGACTTCGAAACAATACTTACTATAGGGCAGTTCACAATAAAGACTTACGAGTATTAATACTAGCAGAAAAGCAAAAACCATTATTGTGGCAGAATAGGACATTTGCGTCCAGTGTTAGTAATGATTTCCAGAAAAAAAAGTCAAGATTCAACAGCAATGTGTTAATATATTGTCCTCTGTTTTATAAGAAATGCATCTTCTGCAGTCAAGAGACAACATTAAAGGAAACGGGATACAACACTTTTTTTTTATTGAAGTAGACATAGTTCCAATCTCATTGATGCGCGATTACAATATAAAACATGATAAAAGCCTTTTAATCGTAAATGGAAACCTACTTCATGTCAATTTCAGCCCCTGAATCGGTCATAAAAGGTAGCATATCTAGGTGTGTATCATCAGTATTCTATGATGTGTGTCACAAACTCATATCCTGACAAGTAAAACTTTTTGTATTTCAAAATTTGTCAGATCAAAGATATTCAATATTTTAAGCCATATTTTGAGCTTGACACGTGTAGGTTCGGACAAAAAGCTGAGGACTATATGGACTTGTCTTGCAATATATTTCAATTATCATCACCTATAGTGTTTCACAGGAAAAACAAATGTTAAGCTGATCTTTGTATTACTATGAATCTTTTGAACTTTCATTTAGAAAAACAAGAATTCGCTGCGCCAGGTGCTTACAAGCCGCTGCCTCAAAATTATTCAAGTCTTATATGACCGTTGATAAACACAATAACTTCAAGTGTTTCCTTTGAACGGACAAAAGTAAATGTACGAAACTCTTGTTATCAATATTCATGTATGCTATGGTTTTTTCACTAGTTAATTAAAGCCGAACCTTTACTTGGAGGAAGAAAAATTAGTGAGAAGAATATTAAGGGTCGTTCTATGCAGTCACTTCTTATGTCATACTATAATTCATTTAAGAACTTCTCATTTTTCTTTGGAAGTATCACAGAGAAACGAACAAAATTTTCATAATCATTATTCATCTGCTACATAATTTTGATTCTAAAATAAACTAAAATAATTTCTTTCCAACGGAGCAAAAGTTCGGATTAGAACACTTGTACCAATTGCGGCAAATGCCGTTGTATTTATTCGTTTTTCCTATGATCTTGAATTTCTTAATAAATTTTGAATCTTAATATTAAAGTAATGATAACATAAATGAACAGGACACTGATTCGATAGACTCATTTAACATGCCATTATCTTTTATGTTTAAGATCTAGATAGTTTTGCTTTGAAGTCACTGATATAGCTTAATATGAGAGTTGGTACTATTCAAGTCATTCATCTAGTAGCCGAGCATTGATGAAGACTCGAATCGAAACAATAAATGCAATGCAGACAAAATAAATCCATAGAACCTACTGGCACTGGTGATCATTCATTTCATCGATCACTCTCAATAGGTTACCTTTCTTCAATTTTCGCCTTTAAATGAAATAAAATAAATGAACGAAAGCATCTGGCAGATTGGCAATGGATAGTGATAATTCATTTATAGTATGATCATCAAGCGTATTCATCAATCGAAAACTTTGTAACCAAGAATGTAAAATAAGTAAATATCACACCCAGAATAGAAATGTTTAAATTGTCATCTGAACTTTGATTTACTTGGTGACTCACAATATTGGTTGCAAAGTAAGTGAGATTGATGAATACGAACATGTCAAGAATTATCATCAGTCATTTACTATGTCATCTTGCGCAAGAGCCAATCCTTGACGCTCTTGTTTTGATGCAAGCAACATTCATGAACAGAAAAGTTGGGACCGCGGCGATGAGAAGCGTTATATTGATTCTTTAATATTGTAACCTTCTAGGAACACAATAATTTTCAACATTCTTTTGATCATCTACAAAAATAGTTGAATAAAACTATTGGTAAAAATATGTTCGTATGCCATGAAACTCTTTCGGATAGAACATGATTTAGATGCTTCGGTTCAAAGTAGGTACAATAAGTGAACGGAACTTCAATGATGCATATTCATTAGTTATTTGATCGCTGATCAACGTAAGAAACGCAAAATCTTCATTTCAAAATAAAAAAATTAATGAGCACAGGAGTGGTACGAAGAATTCGTTCAGTTTGTCATCTTTTTCCTAGTTACAAATGCATCATCTTTCATGCAAATGATGGAAAATATATAAAGGCACTTCTGATTATCCCAATTCTTCATTTATTATGCGTTGTCAGATAAACAGACCGATTCACAAGTTTTGATTTAAGCTTTAAAACAAGATGAAAACATAGATGAACACATCTATTACAAACTCTTCCAACGTTCCCAATATTCATTAATCATGTTATAATTAATGAGCTACGATCAATGCGCCTATTGCTGCTCAAAACGGATGAAATAAATGAATAGAACTATCGTTAGGATTATTCATTTGAAATGTGATAATGAAATAATTAAAGATCTTTCAATATTTGTCTTAGATGAATGAGAATAAACGAACATGATATTGATCACAGTCATACATGTATCATCTGAAACATGTATTGGTGTTTTTAGCAATGTTCTCCCTCAAACTTGCTGTGACTGATGAATGGATGGATGGCTATAAATGTACTTTCAGATTATTCACTAATGATATCACCAGTCGACTATCACTCTACCATCAAGTCACCAATCATTAGAAGAATGTCGATCGATTTCTGTTGTCTTACGTCTTCATCATAATTGCGTTTCATTCTTCGTGTATAATTAAATGCGAAGTTTCGCATCATGAAAACATATGGTGCTTTTGGGCTTATGTGAAAATAAACGTAAAATGTGTATTTTCACTTCAAACAAACCGGTTCATTGTTGCGTAATCAATGATCTCATCGATATGTTGAAGATGAGTCTTAAAAACCAAAATCTATAAGTCAATGAGAAAGACATGATGAGATACCTATCAAATAATTGATGCTGGCAAGAACTCGAAGTTTACAAATATACAATGGTTTGCACATGCGTATTTGTAGATAGTCCTAAAAGCTCTTTTTGTTTTCTCGAGTAATCCATTCATCTATTGATGTAAATATTGGCTTCATTGTTTAACGGATCTCGCAATGTGTATGCCTAAGAGAAGTTTGTAATTCGTCAGATGTTCACACATGATGTATTCTAAAATGGTTCGATAGCTTTCAGATGAAACAATTCAAGGAGTAGTCAACATATACGATTGTTTATCTGAAGTGCATGAAAAGAGAGGTATGGTTGGCGTCTTATAACATTTGACTGTAGAATGCTTGAAGCCGAAATCTAGTTCTGAAATGATTCAATAAAAAATTCATTTTTCAAC